TCTTCCTGTAGAAATAGTTTTATTTTAATTCTAACATTGGTAATTTCATATTGTTTTTTCTTTGCTTTGTCCATCTTTTGAGAAGCCTACCAGCTTGTTAGATATTGACAAAGACTTTTCTTTCTCTCATTGTTTTTCCCTGTTGTTATTCATTTTTAATTTAATAGACTTGTTCTTACATTTCTTTCTTTTTTCAACCTACCTCTCTTGTTTATTTTTACTGTTCCTATTCTAGGTTCTGAGCGTACGTGTTAAGATGCCTGATTTTAGATGTCTAATCTTTTCTACCATGTGCATTTAGTGCTTTAAAATTCCTTTCAACGCTAGACAGCTGAGTCCTACTGGATTTGTTATGCTGCCTTTTCATTTAATTGACTTTTGAGAACTTTATCTCAAATCTTCTTCTTCTACCCATGGATTAAAATTGTGTTGACCACCTCAGAAGCACCTAGAGAAAGACTCGCCATTAACCCTCGGTATCAATTTTCTGTCTCAGTTCATATGGTCAGAGCACACTTCTACATGATTTCCATTCTTTTAAATACATGGAAGCCAGGCCCGGTGGCACATACATGTATTCCCAGCACTCAGGAGGCTGGGGAAGGAGGGATGCTGTGAGTTTGAGGTCAGCCTGGGCTACAAAGTGAGTTCCGGGCCATCCTGAACCATATGGTGAAACCCTGCCTCAAAAGAGACCAAAATATACATACATAGATATACTCATGCATGTATACGTACGTTGAGTTTCATTTCATGACCCCAGATATGGTCTCATTTTGTTTCTATCCTATAGGTGATTGAAAGAATGTGTATAGGGCTGTTATGTGAACGGACGGTGTGTTGGAGTCTTCAATGCACTGTTGGTTTCCTTGCTAGCTGCCTTTAATGGTTAAGATAGAGGTGTCGTCGTTTTCAGTTAACATTGAGGGTTTGTTTCCGCCTCTGTTCAGTTCCACCCATTTTGCTTCGCAGATTATTCAGCTCTGTTTTAGGGTACTGTTGCACTTAAGGCTGTTATTTCTTCCTGAGCTTAGGCTATAGAAGAACAGTTGAGTAGCATGCAAAAGGCCCTGGGCTCAACCCTTAGTACTACAATAAAAAATTGCAGAGATTGTTACATCTTCTCTATGGAATGATTCATTTAGATCATAAGACCACGTCAACTTTTCTTTCTTCCAAAGGGTATTTTATCTGATAATAAAGTAGTATTTCTACTTTCTCTTGCTTAATATTTATGTGTCATATCATTTTCCATAATTTTACTTTCAGCCTACCTCTGTGGTTATATTTGGGTACATTTCTTGTAGACAACATATAGTTTTATTATAGTTCTTTACACAATCTTCCAATTATTATCTTTTAATTGTCATATTTAGGCCATTTACATTCAATATAATTATTAATATGTTTGTATTATTTTCAGATCCGCTGCAACAAAGTATCACAAAAAGGATAATACAAAACACAGAAACTTTTTTTTTTTTTTTTTTTTAATTTAAGAGGAAAAAGAGAAAAACACAAAACAAACCAAAGCGGCGTAAGGGTACACGCAATACAGAACTACAAAACAAAACAAAAAACCATAACAGTAAGAAATTACCTGCTAGTAGATTACACACTATTTTCTTGAAAATAGTTCCTCAAATCACAGTATCAAAGAACACAAGGTGGACATTCAAACAGAGAGACTGCAAACAGCTGTGTTCAATGTTCCAAAAACATTGATAAAGTCAGCTATTTAACACCCCCAAACACACTTGCTGTTATATCCGTTAGAGCTCCTTTTCTTTTTTTTTTTTTTCCCCTCTCTTTTTAAAACACAGAAACTTATTGTCTCATTGTTCTGGAGCTCAAAAATCTCAGACAAAGTGAGACATGCAAAATATATTAATAAAAGTACCTTTGTGGGAAAATAACTTGGTGTTCCTGAAAACGCTCTGAGAAATAGAGTAGAAACATATCACATTGCTTTTTTCAGCATATTCCAAACACCTCTAACTTCCTGGGGTCTCTACTGAACTTCTGGCATTACTCTCACAGTTTCATGCAGTGCCCTCTTAAATGTATGCTCCCTGGCCTTTCATGCTTCTGTTGAAACTTGTGTGGAAGCCTCTGCGACCCCACAATGCTTTCAGTCATGACTATATAACAAACACCCTGTTGATGACACCGAGGACTGTTGACAATTCAAGCAGAAGCCAGACCCCTTGCATCATGGCTGAAGAGGCCTCTCAGTGCCTGATTACTGGACATTATCAAAAGAATACTGGGAAACCAATTCCTCAGACAAATGTTCTTCAACAATGAGCCCTTTTCAGCAGGAAATTTCTTCTGAAATGAAAGCTTTACACTTTGGTATATCTGAGTCTGTGACAAGTGGGGTCTTGCTGATCCCTGAGAATCCTTCAAGCCAACTTACCCCGATGTGGCATCTTTTTAATGCTAATCATTACAGCAACCATGCTCTCCATAGACCAGATTTAGCAAGGACTTCCTGTCTGATGAAGCTGCAAACTTTTGTCCTGATTTTCATTGTAGACATGGCTAAAAGCTGTCAGCAGTACCCATGCCACAGCTTAAATATTAGTCTGCTTTGAAATTTTCTTGGCCAGATTAATTAATCCACTGTTCTTAATCTCAGTCTCCTGCAAAGTCTCAGGACATGAGCAAAAAAAAAAGAAGAAATATTTCTGCCAAAGTATGACATATATGTTCTCTAGTCCAGCTGCCAATGGGGTCTTTGTTTTCTGATGAAATTTCCCGAGCCTCCTCTTTACTGTCCACTTTCCCACTGGCATCCTGGGTTTCTGAACCTGAACTAGAATCTCCCATTGTTCTTTGTTTACTCTGCATACAGCATTCCAAGACTTCTCTTGCCTATATCTCAGAAATTTACCAAATTTCTCCTGCAAACCAGTTTGAAAGGCGTCTGAACCACATGGTCAGGTTTAGTAACAACGACGACCTCACTTCTCCGGTACTGATATCTGTGTCAGTCACTTTCTTATCACTGGGACACAATAACAATCACCTACAATTTTTAGGAGAGGTTCATTTGGTTCATAATTTTAGTGGGTTTAGTCCAAAGTTTGGTTCAGTGGATTCAGTCCAGAGTTTAGCTAGCTCCAAGGTGGAAATGCGTCGGGGAAGGGCATGGCAGGGGAAGACTGCTAAACCTTATAACCAGGAAGCATAGAGAGAAGGGAGGAGTCAGGAACAGGAATAAACGTTTTCAGCTCATGCATGCCTCCCATGATCCATCTCCGACTGGGCACCACCTGCTAAGAGCACATTCAGCTATGAAACTCTGTGGATTAATCCACTGATTAGTATAATCCCCTAACAATCCGCTCGACCTCCAAACACATGAAACTTTGGGGTACAATTTAGATCTAAATCATTACAACAAATATCCAACAAATAGCTGGGACCTTGGTCTCCTGGGATGCAGGGAAGGGCAGGTGGAAAACGACAGACATCTGTGAATCTCCACTGGCACCAAGCATGGGGTTTATGGTGGCAGCCTGGTGCCGCGGTCATCTTTGCATGTTGTTTCCTGTCTGTTTAAACAATGTCATTATAAGTACCAGTGTCACCAGCTGCTTCTATCAATGCCACACACAAGTGAAATACAAGGTGTCCTGGATGCAGTCCACAAGAATGAGGACAGAAAAGTCTCCTCACTGATACGAAGACGCCATGCTACCAAGTAATCTCTGGTCCTGGGAGCACGGGTCCCTCTTCCCCCATCCCTTCTGTGACAGGCTTCCTGGTCAACAGCCCTTTCCACTCTGGCATAAGTATCAGATCACACCAGCACCTTCAGGAAAACCCTAGGTCTTAGAGAGAGTGCTTATTAGTATTATTTAGTGAGTACCTGGGGCTGTCCAATTTTGACCCAGAGAGGCACAAAGGTGCCATTGTGGGGCCCCAGCACCTGTACCCACAGCTCAGTCAGGTGTCTGAGGCCCAGGAACTGCGGCATTTGGAGCAGGGAAGGCAGAATTCTTCATGGGGAAACAGCAGGGTCTAAGGCCAGCAGAACGGGTAACCAGGGGAGCTGGCCATAGACTCTGACCCAGGCAGGCAAGGGGCTTCCCTATGCTTCTGGTCTAGTTCATCTACTGAGAATAAGCTTCAGGCTGTTTGTGTGTGTGTGTGTGGGGGGGTGGTCCACACTGAGGAGGAGGAGGCCTTCGTGAAGCTGGGGGCCCTGCTGGGTTGAAAGTAAGGGAGTTGCATAAATGTGAGTTTCTGAAAAGCTACAGTCACACCTGGTCCTGAGTCCCACTACATGTAGATGGGAGAGAAGAAACCAACACCCATGTTGTCTCAGCCATGCCAGGGGTGCTTGGAGGCCTCCCGTGTCCTCAGCAGGCCTTCTGATGTCTAAAGCGATGGAAGTTTCAAGTTCTCCTATGAGAGAGGCAGCTCTGGGCCCATGGAGGTGAAAGAGCTCAGTTTATTCTGTTAGTGGAAAAATATGCGTGACCTCCTAACATGTGCCCAGAACGGTTCACAGTAAAACTGTGAACCCAAGCAGCCAACTCCCTGCTCCTAAAGTGTAACCAGGGGATGGCAGAGGGGCACAGACACAGGAAAAGACCAAGACTAAGTAGGCAGTGCCGGGTTAGAAAGAGTGGAGCAGGAGTCAGGAAGAAAAGGGCTCCCCTGGGCAGGAGGAGGGGGTGGCTCCCCTAGAGCTTGGCCCTGGTCAGCCATGGTGCGGAGGGCCAGGAGGGCAGGGAGGGTAGGAGGACTTCCTGTCTAGGTGGGCTGGGCTGTGGGCAGGATTCTGGGGTGGGCAGATGCTGGCCAGCACTGTGGTCTTTGTCTCCTAACTTGCTATTCATCAGATCCCAACAATAACAGCACCGCTCCGTAAGGGATGTGGGCCTGGTCATAAGGGATGTGTGGGAGGGGTGTGGTCTGTGCCAAGTGGGCACCGGCCCTGGCTACAGGGGACATAAAGGGCATTCAGAGAGGAGCTGACACAGCCTCGTCCAGCCTCCAGGAGACCTGCACGGCTTTGAGCCATGGAGATAAAGACCCTGCTACTGACCCTCCTGCTGTTCAGGGTGGCGGCCGCCCTGCCGGCCGAGGGCCCTCTGTCCTTCCTCTCAGAAGAGCTGAATGTGAGGCTGGGGAAAGGGGTGGTGCTAGGGTAGGAGAAAGACCATGACTACTGGACAGCAGGCAGCAACTGGGACCTCTGTTTCAAGAGGTGTCATTTAAATCCGGGTTCTGGTCCTGCACTTCCAGTCCACAATGGTCTGAGCTCGGGGGATTCTGTGGTTCTGCCGGCACACAAGGCCATTCCCAGGGCAAGGCTAGAGCACAAAGCTCCAAGCCTGGCTTGGGGGTCCTGCTGAAGAGAAGTCTTCCAAGGGTGGGAAGTGGGGGCTTCCTGGGTGCCTCTGGCTGAGGCCACAGGTCCAAAGAGAACGAACAATCTGCTGATGGGAAGCCAGCCTTGCTCCCAGGGCACTACCTGGGCTGTGGAGGCCAGGCCCATCTCTGGGTCTGGGGGCTGCAGCCTGGGCTCTGCAAGTGTCTGTTTAGCTGTAGGCCAGTATGTCAGGCTAGGCCATGGTGGGCTCAGGGCTTGGCCTGCTCCAGGTCACAGGCACCTGGCACCTAAAAGGTATGGTGGCCAGCAAGAGCCTGTCGGAGGAGGACAAGCCCAGGAAAGTGTTTCCCATAATGATGATGGTCCTGGAAGGAGGGGACGTGGAGGCCAAGATCACCTACATGTGAGTGTCACCAGTGAGGGTCTCTCTGCCCATTTGAATGTTGGTATCAGAGTCCCCAGACTTTGAAGGGACACAGCCCGCATCTTACACAGCTCGGGTAGGGGCTGATTCTCCAGGGGAGCTGAGCGGGGCTCCACGGAGTCCTCAGAGCAGCTGCCCCCATGTCTCCTGGTTTCCAGTAAGATGGGACGGTGCCATGAGGAGAAAGTTCTGCTGCGGAAAGCCAAGGAGCCTGGTGAATACAGCGCCTGTGAGTCCTGCCTGCAGTGCCCTGAGCTGGGGAGCTGTGGAGGGGTAACGGGTCTCTCCACATGGAGCCTTGTCCTTCCCCCAGGAGGGGCATCCTCTTCCTCCCCGGGAGGCCTTGGGTTGGCCCAAAGCACGGACCAGCCAGGCCACATCTCTCACCGGGCAGTCCTAACAGTGACCCTTAGGGAAACTGAGGCTAAGGAAGCAGGGTGGGGCAGCTGCTCAGGGCCAGCGCCACACTCCTGCCTCAGCCTCCCTGGCCTTTACCATCTGATGTCAACACATGAGGTTCCTCTTCTCCATAGTGGCCTCCTGCCCTGTCACAGAGGTCACCACAGGACTGGCTAGGGCTGGGTGGGTCTCCCGGGCAACTGCTTCTTAGTATGGTCAGTGATGTTTGCCCTGGGAACAAAGATACTTCAAGCTAATTTCTCATTGTTCTTCTACAGATCAGGGCAAGATGTCCATACATATAGAGGCGCTGTCTGTGCGGGACCACTGCTTCTTTTACACCGAGCATCTTTCCCATGGGACCACGATCCGTGTAGGAAGCCTCGTGGGTGAGGGTCCTTTGGAGACTCCTGTCTCCTACCCCACTGCACTGGCAGCAGCTGTGTCCTAGTACCAGAATAGTAAGCAGGTCCCTGTGCTGGCCTTGGGGTGCTGGGCACAGTGCTGCCTGGGAAGAGTACAAACTGTGGCAGGCAGGGGTCAGTCGGGAGGGGACCGTCCACCATGGAGCAGAAGTCGCCTTCAGTGATACAGGCCACCAAGTGCCACTTCTTACAGTCTCAGGAGCCAGAGGGGATTAACTCAGAGGCTGTAATGTCCTGACTGTGGCCTTGGTGGGACAGGTGCCTCCAGGGTAAAGGAATGTCACAATGCCTCTGCGAAATGGGGTTCTTGCAGAACTGTGCAGGAACCACTCTATCCCCTGGGTCACACAGTGCCTCAGGACATCCCAATATGAGCCCTTCCCAGGGCCCTGTCACCTGGGCCACCTCCTTCCCCCCCTTAAACCACATTAGGTGACTGTGCCCTTGGGCCATTAGCTTCTGGCAGAGCTGTGCAGCCATCGCACCTCTGCTCACCTGGCCCCTGCCCCACAGGGAGGACCCCCGAGGAAAACCCGGAGGCCCTGGAGGAATTTAAGAAATTCACACAGCATAAGGGACTCCCGCAGGAGGACATCTTCATCCCCGAGCAGAAGGGTGAGCAGACAGCTCTGCCCTGTGGTCTCCCCCACATCCCCTCCAGGTCCCCAATGTCCTCTTTGTTTCTCCTATGTCCCTGTGGACCCACATGTACCCTTGTGTCTCTTTGTGTCCCTCAAGTCTGTTTCCTGATGTCTCCTCCAGTGTCCCCTAGGTTCTCCTTGGGGTCTTGCCCATTGCAGCATCTGTGCTGCAGGGATGGTGGGGTGTGGGTCTCTGCCCTGGGTATCCTCTCACTTCTGAATTTTTCTTGTTTCTATAGAAAACTGTGTGCCTGAGCACAGCTAGGGTAAGTGACTCTGGGTGAATCTTGTGTTATTCCAACTCCAGCATCCATCTCCTCTGGCCCCACTCCTTTCCCAACCAGGAGAGACCCCGCTGGGCCAGGCAGGAGTGGTCACCTCAGGAGTTGGCCCTGCATAGCCTCAAGACATCTGGGGATCTTTTCCATTACCAACATCCACTTAGCCCCTCCCATTCCCTAGTCTCCACTTGGTCTGGTCCTCACCCCCCCCCCCACACACACACCAAGGGTTCTGAGACCAGGCCATTCATGGAGGGGACAGGATCATCCTTTGTGCAATTCCATCCAGGAGGGACTGCATGGTGGCCTGGAGGAAGATCTCTTCCTGCCTCAATTCCATCCCTGCAGAAGAGGCCCCAACCACTGCTCCCTTTTCTGTCACTGTAGCCAACTGGGTCTGAACCTCCTGAATCTACCATCCTGGCTCCGGGCCCAGTCTCCTGAACAACTCCACCCTCCATAACCTCCTGCAAAACCCCTCACCCCACCTGACTCAAAATAAACAACTTCAGCAGCCTTTCTGGGTTTGGCCTGGGTGTGACAAGACCTTGGATCAGCTCCCTAAGAGCTCTGCTATGAGGAGGAGCCACCAGGATCACTGGGCAGACCTTAGACCCAGTAGGGTCCAGACACCAAGGAACATGGCTTCTTACTGGTCTGTAGGACCATGGGATTCCTGGAGGCCACATGAGCTATTGCCCCAAGTGGCTTTGATCAAAACTGGGACCTGGGTAGGAGCATTTGGGAAGCCAGTGGGAGGGTGAGATAGAGAAGAAAGCTTGGTATAGTTTACAGCTGGGTGTTTCCTCAAAGCCTCATGCATGCAAGGGTAGAGCTTTGGATTGTGAGCTTTGGATTGCCTGGATTGTGGGGACACTCTACATGGCTTTGTGCTATGTCCCTTAGCCCCATGAGAAGGGCTCCATTTCAGCCAGCTGGAGATGTTCACCTGCTGTGGTTTTCCTGGGCCCTGAAAGGATGTGATAAGAGACTCTTACAATGTGACTCTGATGATTATCATGTGAATCTACACAGGCGGTGAAACTTTAGCATGCTGGCATGTCTGCATATGTGTAACTGGTTCTCTCCACCACTTTCGTACTGATGGGATGAAATATCTGACATTCATAACTTAAAGGAAGAGGGGTGTATTTTGGTTCAGTTTTCAGAAATTTCAGTCTAGAGTCTGCCAGTTTCAAGGTAGAAAAGGCATGGTGGGAGGGACTGGCCCAAAGGGAAGCTAAGCTATTCAGGTCCTGGCAACCAGGACATAAAGAGTGAAGGGAGGATCCAGGGACGGTGTCGACCATCCAGATAACACCTCCAGAGAATGCCTGTAACCTGGTCCTGTCTCCTCAGCTATGAGCTAACCCACTGATGAGTCTAGCACCCTCATGATCCGATCACCTGCCAAGCACTGAGGCTTTGGGGGACACCCCAGATATAAACCATAACACTGGAAAAATTTGAAAAAGGTCATTTGGATTGTTCTGATGTCACCTTCTGTTGTTCTGACGTCACATTATACTTATGCAAGATGCTACCTTTGGGAAAACCTGGGTGAATGGTAGAGTACATATGTTCAACCTCTGGTCTATGGACTACAAAAGCCCTGGAGAGCTAGTGATGCAGCCCCACAATATTACGACATCAGTTAGGGTTCACTAGAGGAATGGATTTAATCATATATATTTACAATGGTCTCCTGCGGAATCAGGGGTGTAACCGTGTAAAACAGCCTGCTGTGTGCTGGCGAGTAGGAGGGTCCAGTCAGAAGGCTTGGGGTTCACTGCAGAGCCCTGTGCAAAGTCTGTGTGGGAGGGCAGAGGGTCTGTGTTAGAGAGCTAGAGCCTGCTGGAAGCTTGAAAGAATGGAACAAATGCCCAAAGGTGATGGTGAAGCGGAAGAGTGGACGTCCTTCTTCTTCCGTTTTTATTCTATCCAGGCCACAAGCCTATTGGTTGGTGCCCCCATATCCGGGGCGGGTCTTGGCTCCTCAGTTTGCAGCCTGCATGTCAGTTATCCACAGACACACCCAGAACTGTGCTCCGCAGGCCACCAGGCTTTTCTTAATCCGTTCAAGTTGACCTCACCATTAGCTAACGCAATTATAATCTTCTAACCTCATGTGATTTTTGGTGACATATTTCATTACTAGACTGAGTGATGTTCAAGTGTGCACTGCACCGGGGACAAGGGAATGCTGCGTAGGGGAGGGTGCTGTGAATTGCTAACTCTGCCTCCTGTGGCCACCGCAGTGTGGATCAAACCAAATCCCCTAAGGGATCAGGTGTCACAGGTACTTGTGTGGCTTGGTGAGCAAAATTCATGATCCAATTTCAGCCTGCCTGCATGTGTGTCCCTGTGCACAGATCTTTATCGTTAAGAAGGCACAAACGTTTTCTTATGTAACTATTAAATGGACTGGCTATGTCGTTTTATACGGTAGTTTAGTAAGTGAAGATAATTATTTGCAGCTGTGGGGCAGGAAGTACAACAACATATCAAATAGGAGATTCTATCATATGGCCTAGAGGAAGTGGCAATCCTAGGCTACCTGGAGAGCTTACCAGGTCGGTAGGCACAGCTGCATTGGGCGCAGCAGGGCTTCCCAAGGGAAGATGACCTGAACGCCAATAATGAATTCACTGATACAGAAATCAGAACAATATTTCCATGCACAGTAACTTCAAAAACAATTCAATACCAAGGCATCAACCAACCTAGGCAGCTTAAAGACCTCCATAAAAATTATAGGATACTACAGAAATAAATTAATTGAAGATGACTTAGGAAGTGGAAACACATGTCTTGTTCTTAAACTGGCTCTGGAAGAATTAAATAGTTCAATGGCCACATTACCAAAGTACTCTGTAGACTTAATGTAAACCTTACTAATATACCAAGAGCATTCTTCGCAGAACTAGAGAAGATAAATCCTAAATTATATTTGAAGTCAGAAGACCTACAATAGCCACAGCAATTCTGAGCTTAAAAAGTAATGTGGAGGCATCACTGCACTGAACTTTAAACTGTACTGTAAAGCTACAGCAACAAACACAATGTGGTACTGGCATAAAAATAGATGTGAAGGCCAATGGAATAAAATAGAAGATACAGAACTAGATTCAAAGACAGAAGAGCTGTCTTAGTTACTTTTCTCACTAAGACAAAATACTAAACACCCAAATTTAAAAGAGGGAAGGTTTATTTAGCTCACAGTTTGTAGAAATTTCGGTCCATAATCAGCTGGCTCCACAGCAGGGTGATACATGGCAGAGGAAAAACTGTTCACTGTGACAGAAGACAGCAAAAGTAGGAAGCAAGGGAGGACAGGATTTATATTGTTCCTTATGTGGTATGCACGCTACCCACCCTATGGCGGTAGCACTCACACCCTTAATGTTATCCTGAACCAGTGGATTGATTTAGTAGTCATACACCCTTAATCCCAGCACCTCTGAAAAAACCCCATGACTGCACCAGGTTTGGGGGGACATCTAGACACAAACCATAACATGGTCCAAAACTATGTGCTGGAGAAGAGATGATGTCCTTAACAAACAGTGCTGGGGCACAGGACAGCAATGTACAGAACACTGAAATTATACCCTTATCTCTTACCCCGGCTAAAGTCACCCCAAAAAGGATCAGAGACCTAGATATAAAACCAGAAGCATTGAAACTGCTGGAAGATAACATGGGGGGAAAACATGAAGCCACAAGCACAGACGAAGTCTCCCTGAACAGGACTGCAAAGTGACAGAGACTGGGTGTGGCGGAAAATGCCTGCAACCCCAGCCCTCCAGAGGCGGGAGCAGCAGAAATACCATGAGTGCAAGGCTGGCCTGGACTATGTAAGTGAGTTCAAGGCCAGCCTGCGCTACATGGTGAAAAAAAAAAGAGAGAGAGGACATAATATCAAGAATCAACAATCAAAACCACATCTAATTTAAAATGCTGTGCATAGGAAAGGAAACTAAGCAGTGAAGAGACGGCTGGGTGATGGGACCGAGGACTAGTATCTACAGCATATAGAGAACTTAAAAATGAACCTCCACAAAAAAGGGAGTCCAATTTGTAAGAACGGGCAAGTGAATCGATTGGATATTCCTCAATATCCAAAGGTATAGAGAAAATACCCAGCATCTGTAGCCATCAAGAAAATGCAAGTTAAAAGTTTATTGAGATGCCACCTGACCCCAGTCAGAATGGCCATTGTCAAGAACACAAAAAGCACAATGCTGGCAAGATGGCAGGAGGAGTCTTCCATATTTTTCATAAGAATATAAACCAGTACAACTCTGACAGAAATACATACAGCGCTCCCTTGTAAGATAAGCATGGAAGTCCCATTTGATCCAGCTACACCATCACTAGGTGAATTAAGGGTTGCATACCACAGTGAGACAGGCACACTGTGTTGGTAGCAGCACAATTCACAGCAGCTACGCTGTGGAAAGAGCCTAGATGGCTGTCGACAGACAAATGGGAAAGAAAATGTGGTATAAATTGTCATGCTAAATACTAAAAAAGCTAAAATGCAAAGTTAAAAGATTGTTATTAGCACAAAGAGCTTTGTCATTCTGTGCTATGCTTATTGCCCTAGTAACCATGTACCTGGAACACCGACCACATAGTTACAGATTAATTAACTGACCATGTCACCATACTGTTCTGTATGCGTCTTCACCTTAGTAACCTGTTAGCTATGTCAACCATTGTTCCCTTTGTGAGAGACAAATGATGCTGTGTCAACTTTTGTTCGCTTTGTGAGAAACAAATGTTCCTGGAATTAGCAGACCAAGTGCTGTAACTTAAAGGAAAAAAAGGGCTAACCACCAACTGTCAAACGTCTCTGACCCCAAGCAATGGGAAACAAAGGCTTTCCCCATTCTTGCTCTTGTCACATCAGCAGTTTAATCGCTATAAAAATCTGTCATCTAATCCGGTTGCACAGCTTTCCAAACTCCATTTGCACTGTGCCACTGGTGCCAGCTTACAAAAAAGTGCTCTTTCTCATTTTTAAAAAAAAGACATCTTGCCCTGTTTTTTCATCTTGGGGTCTTGTTTTTGGGGTACAACATTTGGGGGCTCATCTGGGATTACACAGGGACCCCTTCCCACATTATTTTTCACCAATCAATTGGCTTGAACCATCTGTAAGTATTTGGGTCTTTTATTCTGTGTAATTTGAGTGCACATGTTTGAAGTTGCAGATGAGCCCTGGTACTCCTTTTGCATCAAAGCGGGATGCCCTCCAGGAAAGGGCTTTTAGCCCATTTGTGATTGGGGATTTTTTGTCCATTTGGTTTGTGCTTGGTATATTTTTACTGTGGAGCCATTTGTTCGTTTGAATCTGTTAGTTCAGTACTAGCATTCTGGTTTCTTTTACTTCTCTTAAACTACTGTTGCAGGTTCCAAGCAGCTTATTGGACTTCAGGGTCATAATGAAAATTTATTTCCCTTTAAGTCACTCAACCACAGACAGAAAAACCTTTGTGTCTTTAATGTTGG